CTTTCGACCTTGTTTTACTGGCCCCTCCTTGGGGGCCTCCGGTACTGTTGGCGGCTGCTTTGAAGGCGCTAGTTTTCTTTGGAAGCCACTGATGGTGCCGAGTGGGGCTGATCTGATGAGGACGGCTGTGTTTGCATGAACTCCGCCTTTGCCTTATCCCTGGAGGCCGTTTCATTTGCTCTAATGGGCCCCTCGGTGCCTCCCATCGCTGGCCATAGGCTGCGGGGCTGCCTGTCACAAGCACTGACTGGGGATCCTCTGAAGGACAGAGTGGTGGGGTCACCTTGGAAATGGAAATTGCGACCTGGGGTGGTGGCTGAAACCTTTTTTTTTTTTCATTTACTGTCAATAGGCATTCGAGTCGTTTCCACTTTGGGGTGATCACATAAAACTGCTGTGGACACCCCAGTGCCTGTCTTTTGTGAACGCCCCCAGCACACATTTCTGGGTCTACATTCCGGGGTACGATGCAGAGGTCAAAGGGTAAGCAGAGGTTTCGCTTTCACGGATCCTGCCAACAACTCCCGTATGTGCGCCAGCTACACGCCCACCAGCCGCGTGTGCGAGTTCCACTGGCCCCACCCCGGGGAACTGTCGGCCCTTTTCAATGAGAGCTATTCTGTCATCGGGGAAGTGAAAAACCACAATGAGACACCACCTCACACCTGTGAGAACGGCTGTTCCCCAAAAGACAACAAACAACAGGTGCTGGCGAGGATGGGGAGAAAAGGAGCCCTGTGCACTGCAGGGGGGAATGCGGATTGGCACAGCCGCTACGGACAACAGGGTGGAGGGGCCGGAGAAAACTAAGAACAGAAGTGCCATTCAACCCCGCGATTCCGCTTCTGGGTATCCATCCAAAGAAAGCAGAACCAACAATTCCCCGTATGTCCACTGCAGCATCGTTCACAGTAGCCAACACACGGAAGCGACCTGGGTGTCCCTCAGGACGGGTGGATAAAGACGTGGTGCAGACGCACAACGGAATATCACTCAGCCACAGAAAGGCCGAATCTTCCATTTGTGACGACACAGACGGCCCGAGAGGGTATTGTGCTAAGTGAAAGAAGTCAGACAGAGAGACAAATGCATAGGATTTCACTTACATCTGGGCTCAAACCCAAAACAAATGAACAAACAGAAAGAAACAAATGAACTCATAGATACAGAGAACAAACTGACGGTTGCCAGAGGGGAGGGGGTGGGGAGATGGACAGAAAAGGGGGAGGGGATTAAGGAGTACAAACTTCTAGTTAAAAATAACCCTGAGGAAGTAATGACCAGCATAAGGTGCAGTCAATCACACCGACACCGTTGTAACCGGCTGGTGATTAATAACAGCACAGGAGCAGAGGGGGGGCCAGCCATGATGGGCGTGGCATGTGGGCAGCTTCACCAGGAAGCTGCAGCTTTGCACCCTCCAGGGGTCCAGCCAAGGGGAGGCAGATGCGTGCCCAGTAAAGGCGGGGCGACACAGGGAAGGTGCGTGCTGCCCGTCACACCTGAGAACAAAGGCCACTGGCCAGCGTGCATGTGGCCACTGCAAGGGCCCGGCATTTGAGGTATTTCTTAATCCCCTGAACAAAGAACTTCGCTCTCTTGTGCCCTGGCTGCTCTTGGGACTCGGGGATGTGTGTGACCCTGGGCTGGTGGGGCTCCCGTGAGGCCGCCCACACCACACGGCCCACAGCCATGCCGACGCCACATGCAATAGACCGATGGGCTGCACCTAGCCCGGTGCTGAACGGGGCCCAGCCATTGTCACGTGACTAAAAATCAATTTTAAAAATTAACAAATGTGCCCGACAGGGTGGCACCCATGGCTTCTGTGAAGGGACCTCCTGCAGATACGTGGAAGCTTTTCGGCCTGGCATATCCTGATGGCCTGGACAGTTTCACGGGCGTTCTTGCAGTGAGCACGGAGATTTGAACCTCTGGACGTGCATGACGTTGTGGGGGTTCCTGGGTCAAGTGAAAAGCGAACCCTCTCAGAGGTCACCTCTGGCTGCTCTCGGGAAGAGCGATTTGCAGAAATGCTCAACATCAGCACCGCCCCTTCCCACACGCCTTCCCAGCACCCCCTGCGCCTCGTCTCCGCATCCTCCCAGGGGGCTGTGGGTGCACAGAAGTTCTCAGTGAGGCTCGATGATCAGTTCTCGCGGTTAGGACTCTGTGTGCTGCTTAAGAAGTCCTTGCCGATCTCGAGGCCATGGAGGTATTCTACTGTATTTTCTTCCAGAAGCTTCATGGATTTGATCATGTGAGTTTTGAGGCCAAAAAAAAAAATCATTGAATATCAGCAGTTTCATATGGTTCATTCTCATACCTCCCACATGTGGGCCTGTGGTTTCTTCACTTTTGTGTGTGGAGCGAGCGGGGGTTAAGGTTCCCTTCCCCGCAGTGGACGCCCGTGTTTCCCGCACATCGGAGAGGCCGCCTCTGCCCGCTGGACGCAGGGCGCTCTGCCCCGGCAGGTGGCTCTTCTTGGGGGCGTTTCCCAGGTCCTAGTCTGTTCCCGGATCAACGTATCTATTTCTATGCAGATGCCTCCTGGTCTCCGTGGCCACAGCCGAGGAAATCCCCCGCATCCGGTGGTGCAAGGGAGCCAAGGCTTGGGGGGCGGGGGGACTGCCTGCTTGAGAGCAGATGTTATCAACCCAGGACGCTCATCTACCCTCAGGAGCGGCTCCCACAAACGCCCGACACAGCCTTTGCCCTGGGCCAGCTGCGCAGACGCTCTGCAGGGCGTGCAGGAAATGGGTTTTGTTCAAGCTCCCAGATGGTCCTAATGTGCTCCCCGGGCTGAGATGCTGCGTGAGAGGCTGGGGAGCCCCCTTTTCAGAGGAGGAGCCTGAAGCTCACCAGCATCCTGTCTAGAGGCGTCCGATGGGTCTCGCGCTCTCTTCACCTGCAGGTGCTCTGCTGTGCTCCTCATGCCCTCACTGTTTACCTAGAGAACTCCTACTCACCCTTCAGAACCCAGATCGAGTGCCCGCCTGTGAGGCTGTCCCAAACCCTTCAGTGGGATAAGGCGCCTCTTGCATGTCCTTCTCTCCCAGAGACAGCTCTGCCTCCGCCTTTAGCAAACGCAGCCGTGTCTGCGAACTCCCCTGTGCGCCCAGCCACCTGGCTCTGGAGTCAGGACACGGCAATGTATCTATTTCTATGCAGATACACGGTCATTCACATGTCCCTCGGTCTCTCACCGCCCAGCATCGGGGAGAACCAAAGGCCAGGGTGAAACTGGACGCTCCTGTCACTCCTACACACGGCCAGGCTGCAGGCATGCCCGTGCCTCTCCCCTGGCGGCCACGGCCCTGTCCGTCAGCTGCCCGCAATGTCCCCGGACTGGAAAATCTCCTTTTCCCTCCAGCCCTCCAGGACGCCCGGCCCCATTCCACGGGCCCCGGGCCCTCCCAGCTACAGGTGGTCAGGCGGCCTTGGGTCGAGGCTGTGCCCCGATGGGCGCTGGGAGGGACTGGTCCTCCAACTACCTGCTCCCACTGTTCCCCCTGTGGGTTCCCCACGGTGGGCTCCCCTGGCTGAGGTGAGACTCGAGGACTCTTGGCCCTGATGGGCGGCGGCTCCAGCCCACCTGTGGCACCTTCCTCATGGCCCCCGGGCTCTGGGCCCTGTCTGCGCCCAGGCCTCCCCAGGGCAGCCTCTCCTGCTGGAAGCGACCCTCCCGCACAGCTGCCCTGGGAGTGTGCCTGCCACTGAGTGTGCCCGGGCCGGGCCGCGGGTGTGGCCCACAGACTCGCGGGCCTCACCCAGTCATTAGCAGGCAGGGTTTTCCCCTCCAAACCAGGGTGCAGGCCCAGATTCTGGGTCAGCGTCTGCTGGCTGGCTCTCAGCTGCCGCCACCTCGACTTGTCCTCTGTCAGGGGTGTCTGGCCACGTGCACACTCAGTGACAGGGGCCCGGCCACGGTGCCCCGGCCCAGGTGCATTCGGGACAGGCCTGCCTCCCTGGGGGAGGGAACCTGGCAGCTTGGCCTCCTGCGGGGCTCTCCCTGATGCTGGCAGCGCTGGGCCCTGGGACCCACCGCGGGTTGGTGGGTCTGTGAGCGCAGGCGGGTGCGGTGAGCCTCTCCTTTCTCTCCGGCGGCTTTCCCCGAGTCCATCAGAGACTGCGGGGCTGAGAGGAGGGCGGGGGCTCATGGCGTCCATCCCAGGATCGGGTGCTGGGAAGGTTCTCAGCCCCATCTCAGAGGGCCAAGGGCTCCGTTTTACTTCCAATCTTATAAAAATGGATTCTAAAGTAATACCTGTTCCTTCAAGATAACTCGGAAAACAGAAAGATTGGGGGGGGGGGGCGGCAACCATAGCCCCACTACTCCCTCCAGAACAACAAATACGCAATCAGAAACCAACTGGAAATTTTTGAGCTTCGATGTGAATTTTTTGTTGTTAATCCTCACCAGGGGATATTTTTCTAAAGATTTTTAGAGAGAGCGTAAGAGAGGGAAAGACAGAGAGAAACATCGATGTGAGAGAAACACATCGGCTGGTTGCCTCCCACACTCGCCCTGACCAGGGCCTGAGCTGGGGAGAAGCCTGCAACTGAGGTATGTGCCCTTGGCCTGAATCGAACCCAGGGCCCTTCGGTCTACAGTCTGATGCTCTATCCACTGAGCACACCAGCCAGGGCTGATGTGAATTTTTGATTCCTGTTACTCCTCACGAGACTTTGTATTTAATTGTCTACTCATCTCTTTTGTGTTCTCTTCCCCAGAAGATCCCCAGGTGAACTAAGGTAATTATTGGGAAATAAGAGTCATTGCAAAAAAAAAGGATGGACTTCATTAGGGAAGCCACCACCCAGCGGGCGCGGTCTGAATGCCACTCTGCCTGGGGAGTGAGGAGTCCCGGAGGCGAGGGCCACTGCTCCCAGCTCCATCCCTGCCCAGCCGCAGGCACGGCCTCCGTGGTCTGCTGC